TTCTAAACATTTTATTTTTAACTAAATTTTTATTTTCAGGATGTGATAATACACATGTTTTTGAATGTAATCCCCAGAATGGAGCCTGTGATTATGGTGTACGTGATTCTTGCGCAATGTGGAAAATTAAATTGTACTTCATCACCAAATCTACCAGCACAACCTACTATACCACCAGCACAACCTACTCAACCACCAGCACAACCTACTCAAACGCCAGCTAAACTATCTACATGCACTCCTACTTGTGTTAAACCTAAATCGTGTGCTAACAGTAAATATCAATGCTTATCATCAAATTGTCCAAAAGGACAGGCATGTAATAATGCTGGAGCATGTGCCACAGCTTTGTAATAACCTTAATACTCTTAATGATGGTTGTACTACTGCTATGAATACATTATTTGACTTAGCAAAACAAGTTAAAAGCGTTGCTGAAATTGCTGGTACTTGTTCTGCAATAACACTTCCAGCTATATTTGTAGCATGGGGAGTTAATGTAGCATGTGATATCATAGAAGAAGCAGCAACTGACGTAATGGTAGCTAGCTTTCTTTTAGGTACTATATATGAGATATGTAGTAAAGCTATACAAGATTTTTGCGGTTCATAATTAATTTTTTTTTCTTAATTATGCTTTTTAGGAAGTTGTAACAAATGTTCATGTATATGTAATCGCGTTGATATAATATATTGCTTATTCATTTTAAGAACATTCTTATTTATTTAATATTTATATAAATATTTAAAATTTTTTCCTTTAAAATAGTTTTTTTTATTTTAAGTATTTATATAAATATAAATCATTTTATACATTTGATTATACTCATAAATATAATGAATAAATTATTTTAGTTAGGTGAAAGCCAAAATTTCAGAAATAAGCATTATTTCTTTGTTAGAGATGTACCTCTTGTGCGATAAACCTAGCATGTATTCCTCATTCATATGATCTCACATGAGATGTGAAATGATCTCATACAGAGATAAATCTGGAGTTCAGCAGATTATAAACTTCTCTTTGTTAAAAACTTTTTTATATATATTCGTATGATTAATGGATTTTACCTGCATTAGAAAGATTAGCCATGTCACAAAAAATAATTACTTCCAAATTTTCTGCGATTATATGTAGTGCACAAATTCACAATAATCATGAAACCTATTTTCTTAATTTTTTGAAACAAAAAAATTTTTAACGAAGAACACTCATTAATTTCGCTTAATTCACATTATTTAGTGAACAAAAAAATATTATTAATCAAAATTCAATTATCGAATATG